TGACACAAGACCCACAATTAAGGCTCAATTTATTAACTGAATGCATGTGAAATTCTTTTGTTGGGCATGTCACTGTCATGACCCCCACCCACTGTACCACCCCGCCTCTTTTCCCCTAGGCCTAGTCCCGTCAATGAAGCCACGTTTCTGGCGGAGACTTACCTGTTGTTTGAACGAAGAGCAGCAAAAGCGCCAGGGGCAGCGCCGACATGGTGACGACCATCAAGTGTCGATAGACTCTTGGCATTCTATTGTTGGAAATTGCTGACGATGGGAAGGTAGCACTCCTATTTTCTCCTCCTCCACCGCCTCCGTCTCCGGCCCGGCCTCTTCTCGATTGTTTATTGTGTGTTAAGTTCTGTGACTTTCGTCGCATTTTTGCATAAACTTGGTATTCCCTTGGGATTCTCACTCAATGTTATTGTCAGAATTATAAAATATGATTTGCAGAAATTGTAATTTTATCAAACAATCGAGTTTTGATGAGGCATGTTTACGTTTTGATTCTGAAAAGAGGAAAATATCTCAATTTATTCTCAAGTTCGTGTCTTAAGTCATTTGTTTTGGACTGTGGGAATTGTCGAAAAATCAGAGCTCTCCGCCATTAAAATGCCACAAAAGTCAGCTGTTTAAGCCGTAATTGTCATTACGTCAGACAACCGTAGGCCAAACCCTCATAAACTAGCAGTACTCCAAAAAAAGCACATTAGCATTAACATAAACGGCGGCTTAGTTTTGCCTTTTTCAGAGGTGTCAACAAACCCTGATATCTGAGCGGCTTGAAAAGAAAATATACTTTCGGAAATACACTTTGGTTTGGTTTCCCGATTACATAAAGTGTGAAGTTTCATTTCGGGCGACTAACTGAACTCGGCTGATTGAAATGCTAATTTTGATTGATGTCCGAGATGCTCAGAAATTGGTTGCAGCGAAAGTCCGAGCACAATTTGAGGTGTCGGGCCAAAGCAAAAGTGAAATTCCAATGCAAACTCGGTGTTTATCATTTAGATCAGATCTACAGTGTTACAGCTTTCGATTTGGTGGGCTCGGTATTACCCAATAGAGGAATATCTTTCTGCTAATCAGAAGCCAAAACATGATGCCGGATCGTAAACCACAGCAGTGCCAGCAACTGAAGCAATTGCCGAGCATTGGGCATTAGATGGAAAGTGAAAGCAAAAAAAAAAGGTAGCAAAAGGAAAGGTAAGCTTAAAGGTTGCCAGCCACTACACATATACGTGATCTTAAAGCCGGATGGAACCGGTCATGCCGGCTGCCATTTAGCCAAGTCCAGGGCCAATTTTTGGCAGCTCTCTTGCTTTGTTTACTGTTTAAACTCAAAATCGGTTTCGGTCTGCAAAGGAACCTTGAAATCTGTGAAGTACGCTCGAAGAATCCCCGAGTGAAATAGAAAGTTTAACCTAAACCACTGGAAGAGCAAAACCACAACATACACAGTTTTCATCGTGGGCTGTGTGCTTTATTGTTATTCTCTGGGCTCTGTCATTAAATGACTCCATTTTTCAGCGGATTGTTGTTTCTTTTCCAATGAGTGGTTCACCCACGCTGGCGCTTGTTTACATTTTCCTTGAAATAATTTTTATTAAACCCATTTTGCTTTCTTTTCGCCCCGAACTCTGGACTCTTTCAACATTCAGCGGAAGTTGCCGCAGGTAATTAGTTTTCATTTCTTTCATCTTCTGCAGTTAAATGACTCATGTGATTTTTTATAAGCCATATTTCGGAGAGTCCGTTGCGTAACCATTACTTCAGCCAAGGCAGATGGCCCAGCCGAAGGTGAGTGTTGGGTTACGAGAAGGAGAATGGAGTGGATATTTATTGACAGAGGTGAAAAGAGACGATTAAAAAGAGAGTTAAGAATGACGTTCGACTTTACGGACTCAAAATTGCATAAGCTCTTATGCAAAAACTGGCGAATTTAAGGCTGACATGCATACATCCTTTTAGGCTTTCTGGCATTTCTCTAGAAACTCCCCAACGAAACTCTTTTTTGGCTTCTGTTTTTTTCCACTTAAGACTCACCTCAAAGCGTTTCCATTAATCATGCGATGGTTATCTCTGCGTTTGATTGATGTTTTTGCGTGCTTTTCTATTGCACGATATTTTCAATTAGATTTTTGCACATAAATAACGTTAATAATAAAAAAAATTTCACCAATTGGGAAAAGCGACGAAACTGCAAAAAACAACAAGACAACAAATTGAAGATCTCGCCAACCCAACTCGAGTTCCAGGTTTAGGCCAGGCCAGCCTGCACACCGAGAGGCAATTGCGGTTTTGCGGCTTAAGGAATGCAAAACTCTAAATTATCGAAAAGCAAAAATCAAGCGACAGGGGCAGCACAGCTGGCTGCTGCCTAGAAAATTGGCACAAGTGCACTCGAAATGGCACAACTAACAGTATCAAGTGCTGGAACGGGACCCGGGAGTGGGCAGTGGAGTTGCTCTCAGACTTGGATCTGGTCTTGGACTTGGACTTGGCCTGGAGTTAAGAGCAATTTAGCGGATCGTATTGCAAGTCTTAAGACATGTGTAGGCCGCCGGACAGGTTGCAATAGCCAAGTAATTTGGCCACGGACCGCGTATCGGGTTGGGGTAACATGCAACATGGCGGATACTCAACGTGGTGCCTCCACTGCGCTCTGCACTGTTTCGCGGTTCTCTCGCGAAAATCTTAATTAATTCCCATTCCCACTCCCGTTGGCCCACTAGAGTGGCTTTTTGTAATTGGGAGTGAAATGGCGGACAAATTATGAATTTGCAACAAATTTCACAGACGTCGTGGAACAAAAGACGCAGACAAAACTAACTAACTTCCAGTCGAAGTCAGGCGGCGGCAAAAGGTAGCGCGAAAAAAAGAAAGTTTTTTGATGTTTTTGTTGCTGCAGCCATGGGTATGTATGTATTTCTATATGTATTTTGCTTTTCTACACACACAAACGAGCCCCGCACAAATATCATTTATACGTTTACATATTCGCCGTTTGCGGCTGCTTCACTTTGAGAAAGAGACTTCTTTCCATCTTCCCCACTCACACTCACATTCACAAGCGCACTGGCAGCTTGGGGCCTCGTCTTGGCTATTCACTTTTATTCATAGATTCGAACGCACGCACGCACACATGCACTTTGGGCCACGATCGCCGGTGGCTTCTTCACTTTTGGCCGTCTTTCCTCGCTCACCTACCGATTTACCGCCTAACCAACCGTCCACAGGTGCGCAACGTTGAACCGCTCGACTCAGACTGACTGAGGTGGGTCCGAAGACTTGGCTACAACCCGACGAGGCCTCAAACTGGTGCTCTGCTCGGTTGCTGCCTCGTCTTCGGCCTCGGCTTGGGGCATGGGGAGTTTCGACTGCGAATTCGGCTAAGATCTTGGTAAAAGCGACAGTTTCGCTGTGGCAAGGCCTTTGAAATTTTTTCTTTTTTCAGGTAAATAACCACCAATAATAGTAATAGTATCCAATAATGTTCAAATTTAAATTTTTGTCTACAAATTTGTACACAAAAAGACTTAATGATTAAATATTTCAGTATGGATGCGATATTGAGGTCCCTTGATCCACCAGAGAGACCTATATATTTGCGAATAACCATCCGATTCTTGAGCGGAATACCTTAATCGATTTGTAGAACGATTCTGCACCAATCTGCATCAAAACCTAACAACAAAATATTTATTAGATTTTTCGTCATTTTTTCTGGAGGGTCCCCTTCCAAATTTTGACAGCTCCATGTGGAGGTCCATTGATCGCACTGTGAAAGCTATATCTTTGCCAATAACCATCCGATTCTTGAGCGGAATACCTTAATCGATTTGTAGAACGATTCTGCACCAATCTGCATCAAAACCCACAAACAAAATATTTTTTAGATTTTTCTTTATTTTTTCTAACGGGTCCCCTTCAAAATTTTGATATCTCCATGGGGAGGTCCCTTGATCGCACAGTGAAAGCTATATCTTTGCCAATAACCATCCGATTCTTCAGCGGAATACCTTAATCGATTTGTAGAACGATTCTGCACCAATCTGCATCAAAACCTAACAACAAAATATTTTTTAGATTTTTCGTCATTTTTTCTGGAGGGTCCCCTTCAAAATTTTGATAGCTCCATGGGGAGGTCCCTTGATCGCAAAGTGAAAGCTATATCTTTGCCAATAACCATCCGATTCTTGAGCGGAATACCTTAATCGATTTGTAGAACGATTCTGCACCAATCTGCATCAAAACCTACTTACAAAATATTTTTTAGAATTTTCGTCCTTTTTTTTGAAGGGTCCCCTTCAAAATTTGATAGCTCCATGTGGAGGTCAATTTTTCGCACAATGAAAGCTATATCTTTGCCAATAACCATCCGATTGTTGAGCGGAGTATCTTAAACGATTTGTAGAACGATTCTGCACCAATCTGCATTAAAACCTAAAAAACCTAAATTTTATTTGAAAGAAAAACACTGAAATGGAAATAAAAATTCGTCACAAGCTTTGCAGAATTCCATTGAGGATTAGCATTTACCAGGCAGACTTTAATGGCTAGTTAGTGATTATCGGGCGGGACTATTACCAATCATGCAAGGAACAAAATTTACTTTCCGTCTTTCGTTCAAAAGAAATCTCATCGTGGCAGTGTCATTGGCAATGGAAACATGATGAAAGAGTATCGAATGGAGGCAGACTGTTCGATCGACTGCTCATCATGCCACAAAACCATGCCCCATGACCAGTGAAATTTTGTTTTCCGAAGCTTGTTTTCCTCTGGTTTATTTTATTTTCTTTTCTTTTCGCTTCCATCGTTTGCCTTTTCACACTTTTCACGAATCGACGTCTTCAATTGTTTGGGGGCCTCCGCTGTGTTAATGGAATCGGCAAGCAGCCACCACCAGCGAACCATTAATTGAGCACGCTGGCGGCTTTAATAGTTCTTAAGCACCTGGGTATTAGTGTCAGAGCCACACTGAATCGGGCAGCGGTACTCCGTTTTACTTTTCACAATTAACTTTATTTATTCAAGCATAAACATGTGTGATTACGGATATAGAGAACAAGATTACTTCGCTAGTATTTCGGCAACTCAGAGTAGCGTGGTGGTGTCGACCACAATACACTGGAGTTCCGTTTCAACTGGCTGGGATCGATATTCGGGAATATCTGCTTTAGGTCAGGCGTGGTGGGCGCCACCGAGAAGAAGCTGTCGATGACGTCGGTGGGACAGTGGCTCTGCATGATGATTGCATCTCCCCTTACATGGCCTAGGAACAGAAATTGTTAAACAGGTTTCAAAATTACGACATAAAAACACTTACTTCGACTCCAGGTTGGCGCTGGTGGACGCTTGTGAGTGACCTTGCCCTCGTCGTCGGTGGAATCGTCTTCGTGCAGCATCTCCCAGGTGTACTTTGTCTTCGGCGGTGGTGGCAGCATCTTTTTGGGCTTGGCGCCCGTCAACTGCTGCAGTTTTTGTTGCTCCTGCTCCTTAAGTTTTGCCTTCTTAAGCGCCTCGGCCTCTTCCTGTTGCCGCATTTTGCGCTGCAGTTCCTCCAGCTCCTGTCGCTTGCGCTCCTCGATGCGTTTACGTTCCTCTTGCTTCTTTATCCGTTCCGCTGCCACCTTAGCCATTCGCTCAGCCCGTTCCCGATCCTTTGCTTCCCGCTGAAGAGCCGCCTGCAAGTGTTTCTGTTCCCGCTGCTTCTTTCGCTCCTCGGCCAGGTTGTGAAGTCCCTTCCTAAAATCGTCGCCACTGTTTTCTCGCGATAAGGTCTTGGTTGATGAGGAGTTGGTGCTCTTCAGGTTGGTTCCGGTGGCAGTCTTCATCAGAGTAGTGGCCTTGGAGGCACTTGCTGGGGCCTTTTTGGGTTGAGCCGAACTAGCCGGTAGCGTGCTGGTCATCTGTGTAGGCGTAAAGAAGCGTCCAACTGCGGGAGCAGGTAGCCTGCCTACCTTGGGTGTGTTGCCAGATACCGGGGTACTTTGCTGAATATGGAAAATATGTTAATTTAACCTCTAGCCAATAAGAAAATAGACAACTTACCACTTCTTTTACTCGCTTGGGACGCAAGTTAGCCGCACTGGCAGCATTTTCAAACGCCTCAACTCGCATCTTTACGGGACTCTGTAGGAGAGGGCTATTCGAAAATATTCAAGACATAAAATAGTATTCAATACTAGGCTTACTCTAGAAACTTACTTAAAGAGCTCATGAGGGCGAGACGGCAACTTCATTGCTTTGACATTCGTTAGCAGTTTTGCCAATGGCACCTTCTCCTCCAGCGATTCGTCCTCTGTCAAAAGGCTGTCTTGCTTGGGTAATTCAGGCTGCTTTTTGCCGCTAGTGTGTACCTCGAAGGTGGCGTCGGCTGCTGGGCCACGAATGCTGTCTTCCGTGGGCGCGGGGCCCAATACCATTGTTGCATTCGAAATTGTCACCGTCTCGTTACAAATGGCTTGAGCAGCTGCTGACGTAGGCACCTCCGGAATCGGCAGCTCCTCCATTGCGTCTTTGTAAATAGAGCGGTCCTGTTTCGGACGCGACTCAGTGCTTCCCTTGCGAGTGCGTGACGCCACCGGCGACCTTGTGTCCAGTTCGCTAAAGCGCTCCACTTTGATCGGTCGATGGGAGGCGGCTGCGTCCTTTTTCTTCTTGCGGCCCTTCTTTCCCGGCTCTTGGCTAGCCACCGTCTCATCCGGCCGGGCATCTTCCACAGTCGCTTCCAGAGCCACAGAGGAATTGGTTATGTTTGGAGTTGGGAGTAGACCTTCGTTGCTTATCTTTTCCCGTTTGATCTTAACGCGCAAAGTCCGTGAGTTGTTGGCCTGATCGGCATTCTCCTCATCGGCATTTGCATGCTCCATTGACAGTTCCGGAGCAGGCTCAGACTCCTTCGGAGGTTGTTCCTTTTCCTGTGTGCTAATTGTGGTGGTAGCAGCGTTGAACTGCGAGGGGCGCTGCTCGTTTTCCAGCTTCACCTTCACCATTACTTCGTTGCTAGGACGTCGCAGCTTGCGAGTAAGCGAGGGCTCCTTCATCAGCCCTTCGGTCTTTAACTTGGCTGCGCGCTGCGGCCGAGTGGAATTTAGTGTGGTATCAGCAGGAGCGGGCGCAGGAGCCGGGGGTGGAGGCATCAGAGTGGCTGTGCTGTTTAAGTTGTCCTCGGCTATAGCCAAAAGCTGTGAGTTGCTAATCCTTGCGCTCTGGCGTACGGTGGAATTGGTTGTGGTGTCTGTTACTGTTGGTAAAGACGGATGTAAATCAGCCGCATACATTCCACCCACCAGAAGACTTACCTTGAGGCTCGTCCTGGTCCTCGATCAGGGAACTAAGCCGTTTGGGCCGCTTCTTCGTTTGCTGTGGTGTGACCGACGAGTTTCCACTCCTTACCTCTGGAGCGGTCTCCGGCGCCTTGGCATTCGGCTCCGGGTCGACGGGGGCCGCTCCTGTTCCATAGAAGAGGTGGTCCAGGTCCTGGGCGTGCGTCTATAAACCAAACGACGCCATGTTGAGCCTTGATTACTATTGAGACTCCCAAAACTTACCAGGCGCAGGGATTCCAGACTGCGCTGAAGGTCCGTGAGCGACGTCAGCACCACCGCAACGTCTTCCATCTTGCAAGAAAATCGGGGCTATCTGTACAGTAATTCACAAACACAGCTCCGATTTTTTTCGGATTTCACAAACGTTTATTTCAAATGGCGGCAGCAGAGACGCGCGACAGCAGCTGTTAACATCGGCTTTGTTTGGGACTGTTGGCAAGCTATTGGCCTAACATCGGAATGCGGGCTGTTAGGCGCTTGGGCAAAGGCATTTCCAACACTGCAAGCGGCCAAAAAGTTCCCGCGCAAAATAAAAAACACAGAAACAACTTCTTAAATAGTCTCTTTTATAATTAAATTATAATTCAATTATATGGAAAAGAGAATACAATATCTTTAAGAAAATTTTGCTAAATTAAATGAAGTTTTATTCCATTCCTCAACATAAAAACATTGCTACTTTTGAACTAGTTCCATGAAATTACTACAACTACCATCTCTATTTGTTAGAGTTGATAAACGTGGTTATGAATTAAGTTACGCAAATGTTACCAATATAATTTGAATTTAAACCGGTTTGACTTGTTTCTTGTCCAGTTTTAGTAGCATAAAGTGACATCAGTCTTCTTTGATTCAAAATGAGCGTGTCCTGCATTATTTCAGCACTAGTGTTGGAAAACTGGAATGGAAATGCGTCAACGATAGTATCGCCATGGTGTGTTGCCCAGATTTGCCACCTCTAGCACATTTGTTAAAAAATTTGCAACAAGCCAGCGAAAATTGACCAGCTACGGGGGATAGAAAAACGCGCGCTCTGCTTGGACACCGTGGCACGTACATATGAGCACCCGCGCCGCGGAGTAGACACAGTGCCTGCGAACCGCACCGCCCCGCAACCATAGAAGCCATTGCCCGCGCCCGCTCCCGCTCGCGATTGAGCAGCTGCAGCAGAGCTGAGCCATGGGCCTCGACTTCGATGCCGTGGAGTACTGCAAGGGTGTCAAGAGCCAGCAGGCCCAGCCACCGTTTGCGTGTCCGGTGCCTGGCTGTGACCGCAACTACAAGACGATCGTGGGCTTGCAGTACCATCTAATGAAGTTCGACCACGACAATCCCCAGCCGCTAACCCCAGTGCTGACGCCCAACCGGAAAAAGGCGCGTTCGCGCTCCGGTGCACACCACTCCACGCCCCGCCCACCTAAAGGAGATGCGCCAGGTGGAGGAGCCGAGTCTAGAAACGGTTGCGCCTCCGCTAGCAGTGGTGGTGGAGCTGCAGGTGGCGCCGGAAGCGGCTCTGCGTCAGCATCGCGCCACCAGTACGCCAACCCGGAATCCCTGGTGGCGTACAACGAGGAGGAGGCCACCGTAACGTTCAACCTGGACGGGAAAAGCGTGAGATTGGGAATTGACGATGCCCTGCCTCTTGTAGATGAAGAGGAATTTGCCGCCTTAGTAGCCAGGGGCTGCATACTAAATGCCGACGCACCCCCGCTAGAGGAGAATGCGCCTTGGGCACGGGTCCAGGTGCCCGTCGCCAAGGTGGCCGAGATTGCCGATTACCGAGTGCCTGATGCGCCACCGCGGCCGCTCGCCTACTACCGGTTCATCGAGAAGTCGCTGGAGGAACTGGATGGTGAGGTGGAGTACGACGTGGACGAGGAGGACTCTGCCTGGCTGGAGCACATGAACGACGAACGCCAGCGCTCAGGCCTCAACTCCGTGGGCATTGACACCATGGAGCTTCTAATGGACAGGCTGGAAAAAGAGTCCCACTTTCAGGCGGCGGCCAATGGGACGCCCACGGGCGTTGAGGTGGACGACGATGCGGTCTGTTGTATCTGTCTTGACGGCGAGTGCCAGAACACCAACGTGATTCTTTTCTGCGACATGTGTAACCTGGCTGTGCATCAAGACTGCTACGGCGTCCCTTACATCCCCGAGGGCCAGTGGCTGTGCCGGAGATGCCTGCAATCTCCCAGCAAGCCCGTAAACTGTGTTCTTTGCCCCAATGCCGGAGGAGCCTTCAAGCAGACGGACCACAGTCAGTGGGCGCACGTGGTGTGTGCCTTGTGGATACCAGAGGTTCGGTTCGCCAACACCGTTTTTCTGGAGCCGATAGGTAAGTACTCCTTACATTAAACTGGAATTGAAATGTTTATTTACAATTTTAAACCCGTAGATTCCATCGAGACCATTCCTGCTGCTCGCTGGCGACTCACCTGCTACGTGTGCAAGGAGAAAGGCTTGGGAGCCTGCATCCAGTGCCACAGGAACAGCTGCTATGCTGCCTTCCATGTCACCTGCGCGCAGCAGGCCGGCCTGTATATGACCATGGACACGATTAAGGACGGCCATAACGACTCCTCCATGCATGTGCAGAAGTTTGCATACTGCCACGCCCACACGCCAGCGGACGCTAAGCTCAAGATGAACGTGCCCGACTTCGAAGACACGCGCCATAAAATGCGCGAGGCGCGGAAGGCTCTGGCCAAGAAGCGCTCCACGGCACCAGTTGTGCTTATTCCGACGATTCCGCCCGATCGTGTCCAAGAGATCGCCACAATGGTTACGATGCAAAAGAAAAAGGAGTTTTTGGACCGCATCATTGCCTATTGGACGCTGAAGCGTCACTACCGGAACGGAGTGCCTCTGCTGCGGCGTCTCCAGAGTCAGGGAAATAACCACGGCGTTATTCAGCGGAACGGCATCGAGGGATCGCCGGATACTGGAGAGCTGTACCGACAACTGAAGTACTGGCAGTGCCTTCGTCAGGATCTGGAGCGTGCGCGCCTGCTCTGCGAACTGGTGCGCAAACGTGAGAAGCTTAAGGTCGCCTTCGTGCGCATTTCCGAGGAGGTGGTGATGATGCAGCTTAATCCGCTTGAGGCAGCGCTGGGCAAGCTTCTGGACTCACTGGAAGCGCGCGACAGCATGGAGATCTTCCGCGAACCTGTTGACATTGGTGAAGTTCCCGACTACACGGACATTGTCAAGCATCCTATGGATCTAGGGACAATGCGGAAGCGCCTCAAGGATTGCCAGTACACCTCACTCGAACAGTTGGAGGCCGACTTCGACCTGATGATCCAAAACTGCCTAGCTTACAATAACAAGGACACGGTGTTCTATCGCGCCGGCATAAGGATGCGCGACCAAGCGGCTCCGCTGTTCGTCCAGGTGCGTAAGGAGCTGCAACGAGATGGCCTGCTGGAGCGATCACATCGCAACCATGTAGACCACGTGGAGGCGGAGGTGGAGCAAGAGTTTCGTCAGCTGCTGGCTGGGCCGGCCAGCGAAGATGTGGTGCAGAAGCTCCTCATCCTTGCCGATAAGTCGCAGGTGCTTAAGAATCCCAGTTACCGGACAAAGAAAATCAAGCAGATCCGGCTAGAGATTACGAGAATGCGGAAGTCTTTACAAAAAGCTCGCTTCGCAGCGGTAAGTTTATCTATTTCTGGAAAGGATCGGATTGTAAATAATTCCTGGTTTATTTTTTTTTTTAGCGATACTCCTCACAAACCAACCAGTCACAGAGCGAAGAGGAGGAGGCGCCCGATGCTTCACCTGCTAAGAAGCGAACTCGCAAACGCCTGAGTACCAATGCCATGAACATGGACATAGATCAGGAAGATGAGGACGAGGACGAGGAAACGGACGACGACTCCATGGGTGAAGTGGATGGCGAGGATAATACCTCCAAAGACCTGCTCAACTCCACACAAACGCCGCCCTGCAGTCCAATCAAGAGTCTCAACAACAGCAGTTCTCCCGTGGGCATCAACAGGAGGTGAGATACGCCTGCATCCATAAAGAATTCCTTTGAAACTAAAACCTAATTCGATTCCATTGTAGAACGGCTATATTGCTGACGCGAAAAGCTCAGGCGGCGCTCAAGAGACCATCGGAGCCATTGACGACGCCCGTGAAGGAGGAGCATCACAACTCACAGACCTCCAGCACGCAGTCCACCAGCGCCAGCGGAAGCTCACTGTCGGCGACGACAGCTGCGACGGCTGCCTCCAGCACACTGGGCGGAATGAATCACGTTCTGACCACCGCTCCGCACTCAGCCTCTGGATTCGCGTTGACGCAGAATAGCAACAGTGGTGGAGGAGCCCTAGCTTCGGGAGTAGGAACTGCATCGTCTGCCGGAGCTGCAGCAGCTGCTAGTCTAGCGTCCACGGCTCTCTCCATCAGCAGCAAACTGGGCATGAGTATGGGAGTCAAGTCGCCCAAACGACAAGGCCGATATCGCCGTTTGCCAGAGCTTAGACATAGTGCCTCGATGTCGCCAAAAAAGTCACCCAACCCAGCGGCGGCGATAAGCCAGGCTATGCCCGATCCCCTGCCATTCGAGCGCATCCCCGACAGCTTTCGGGTCTACCGGGCGAACAATCAACGCGATGCGAGCGACAGCGACGACGCTCCATCGCAGTCGAGCAGTCCGTGCAGCAGTTGCTCAGACTTCAGCATGTCGGGGAGCTGCTCCGACTTCGACAGCGACGAGGCTAGTGATGCAGACGGCGATGGTGGAAGAAGCCGCAGCGAGCGAGATTCCACGTCGCAAGATGGCACCACAGACGCCATGGACCTGCAGCACACGAGCTTTCATCACGGCCAAGGCAACAACGGCAACATGGCCATAAGCAGTAGCAGCGGCGGCAGTGGCGGGAGCTCCAGCGAGGACGATGAAGAACAGCCGCTCAGTGAGAGGCAAAACAAGGCGTCAAGGATCGGCACGAGAGGCACACCCACGCCGACCTCAGCTGCAATAGCGCGAGGAGCTTCCCTGGCGACAGCCCGGGGACGAGGCAAGCGGCGCAGTAATCTCAGCGAATCTACCAGCTCCACGGCCACGCCACCTCCTTTGCTACAGAAGGTGGGAAAGTTGCGCTCGGCCACCCCGAACGCCTCGCCACTAATTAATAACATCAAGGCGAGACGGAACACCACAGTAGCGGCGACGACCAACAACAACCGGAGTAAACCGAGCGAGGATTCGGAGGATACGACGTCAACCCGAAACAATTACTCCTTGGGTCATGCCCAGAAACCCACGTTAGAGCCGCTTCAGCTTGTGTGGGCCAAGTGCCGAGGGTATCCGTGGTATCCCGCCCTCATCCTGGATCCCAAAACGCCAAAGGGATTCGTCTACAATGGAGTGCCCCTACCCGCCCCGCCCTCGGACGTCCTGGCGCTGCGCAAGAACTGCCTGGACGAGATTGT